ATATATGCAGAAGTCAAGAGTTGACTGGATTCAAGAGGGGATGCTAATACCGCTTTTTTCCATAGAATGGCGAGGATAAAAAATCATAAGCAATTTATTAGAAAACTGAATAGAGATGAAGGTACAGTGGTTACAAAACGAAAGAAATGGGAGGTGGCAGTAGAATTCAATCAAATTCAAAGCTTATTGGGTACAGAAGATTATGCAATGGTTGAGCACCCAGTCGAGTATTATGGTGATATCCTTCAACGAAAATTGGGTTTGGAGGATGCAACGGAGATGGTAGTGCCTATACAATGCAGTCAAAATCGTGATTTTACATAAAATCGGAAACTGATGTAAATTCGGAATCGTAGATCACAATCGTAAAATCTTAATATTTTAATGTTCATATTAAAACAAACATTCAAAACACCAGATAGTAATAACAAAGCATATAATGAATAACAGTCAACCCCTATTTATGTACCAAGATAAGTTTGTCTCGTAAATAAACACAACGAAATCCATAGATTTATTCATGTACATAACATAAACACACAAATAAGCAACCTCAAATCTCATAGAAATCACTTAATTGAGTTAATAGTTAAGAGTAGAAAATCACATAAAATTGTTGGAATCAACATTACTATCTCTCACACATCATCATCCTCAACCTCACTCTCACTCTCATCCTCGAAGAATCCTTGTTTATTTGCTTGAGGAATGATGTCATTTTTCTCAAGATCACTTGAAGTACTTTCACCATTAACCATATTTCGGGAATAGGTTAGCATGGTTACATAATTTTTAGTAATTATGGTGGCTACCAAAATCTACACCATTAGTTATCTCTATTTTACATTATTTTTAAATTAACGGTGAAGATTAGATTAAGGATAATTTTGGAAATGAAAAATACCACACCTGATTATTCTATATATTATATTCAAACCCTAATCCTCACCTACTACTTCTCGTCGTCGTCCTCTGCACCCGCCACCCCACCCTGCCTTCCCTCCGCCGCTCTCCTCCCCTCCGCTACCTCTCGTCACTCTCCTCCCCACCCGCTACCTCCCGCCGCCCTCCTCCCCTCCCTGCTACCTCCCATCACCCTCTTCCCCACCCCACAATAGGCCTTCCCTACGCCGCACTCTTCCCCTCCACTCCCTCACATGATCTCTCTCTCTCTCTCCATATATATATATATAGGCGTATAGGAGATCGAGGCTCTAATTAATTGGATCTCTGGATGTGTAAAGGTATGTATTTTTGTGAAATAGTAGTGATTTTTTCCGTAGTGGTAGTGTTTTTTCGCATTGGTATTATTTTTGTCGCATTGGTATTTATCATCATGTATTGGTATTGATTTTGTTGCATTGGTATTGTTTTTGTTGCATTGGTATTGATTATCATGTAATGGTATTAATTTTCATGTATTGGTATTGATTAAATCTGCAATGGTATTAATTTTTTGTGGAATGGTATAGATTTATATTGGTAGATTGTTTATATTGGTAGTTTTCGTGTAATGGTATAGATTTATTTTTGCAATGGTATTGATATTTTTCAAAGTGGTAGTAGTTGTCTAATGGATTGGTAGTGATTTCGTATTTTTTTTCTTTTGCAGAAAGATTGAGAAAAATAAGGAAAGGGATCTGGCTGGAGATGATGGAAGTGAGAGAAAGAGAGAGAATTGTAATTAACAGATTCTTGTAACTAACTAAAATGTATTTTATTAAAAAAAATAATTAATACAATTTATTTATCATACCCAATTTACCCTTAGTAACCACGGTGATTACTACTTTTGTAGTAATCACTGTAACCTGTCCCCCATATTTCGTTTACCACCATCATCTGGCAAAGGTAACTCATTGATTGATGCTGAAGGATTGGGAGATAAACGAAAGCTTCCAATGGAATGAAGATTGGATAATTGTGAGAGTGGTTGAAAAAACTACGAGCTAATTGGGAGGGTGGAAGAAATCGTTGATGGAAGGAGTTGGGCGTTGGTTTGCAGAAGAGGAAGATATGAGAAAGAGAATGAAGATAAATTGAGGGTCTCCTATTGAGTTATGATTGTGTTGTTCATTATGTTGCGTCTGGGGAAGTAAACATGACCAGATTCATGGGCAAAACCTTACCTGTCCGGCCTAATTTTGCTCCAATTGACATGAACCTTGAAATCGCACAAAATCGTAGATTTTAAGGATTTTAGAGTTTTAAATTGGAATTTTATGAGATTTTAAGGTGCAAAGATTTTATTCTAAAATCAAGATCGGAACCCATATGTAAGATCGTAAAATCGTAATATTTTAAGATTAAAATCAGGATTTTGACTACATTCTATGACTAGGAAAGACTCCATCATCCTCGGTAGGTAAACTCCGCCATCCTTGCCTTAATACCTAAGTTGCCTCAAGTTGATCGAATGAAAAATTTCAGGGCTATATCGTGTTGTAATGTCTTATATAAAGAATTCTCTAAGATTCTTTCAAATAGGCTAGCAAATGTTCTTCCATAAGTTATTGGTAAAGCTCAATCTGCGTTTGTTAAGGGGTGGCTGATAAGTGATAATATACTAATGGCTTCGGGATTAGTAAAAGATTATCATAAGTATAATATGTCGTCTAGATGCGTATTAAAAGTAGATTTGATGAAAGAGTTTGATCCGGTTCATTTGGGATTTTTGTTCAAATTTATATTGGCTATGGGATTCCCTGAAGTGTAAGTGAAGTGGGTCGAAGCTTGTGTTAGAACTCCTATGCTTAGTGTGTGTTTCAGTGGTGGCATGTGTCGGTACTTTCCGGCACACAAATGGCTGCGACAAGGCGATCCACTCTCGCCATATATGTTTACTACAACAATGGATTTTTTCTCATGTCTCCTTAGGAAGGATGTATTAGAAGAATAGATCATATATCATCCTCGGTGTAAAGCATTGGAAATCTCACATTTATGTTTTGCTGATGATCTACTCGTTTTCACAAATGGGTCTGTTGGAGGAGTGGCTGGTAATTGGTATATGCGGCTTCTTAACATATTTTATGTTGTTTATGGACTTCGCTGTAACATACAAAAGTGTCAAATTTTCTATGCTGAGATCTCGGATGCAGAAAAGAGTATGATTTCCCGAGGTGACGGGGTTCCCTCTAGGTACACTGCCTCGTTACTTAGGGGTGCCTCTTATGACGGGTAAACTCTCCTCTGCGGACTATAAAACTCTAGTTGATAAGATCACTGCTTGGGTTAGAACATGGCAGGCCAGTATGTTGAGCCATGCGAGTCGGTTGCAGTTAATTTCGTTAATCATTACAAGTACAATGTTGATTTCGATTGCAGCTAATTTCGTCAATCATTTTATCATAATTAGTAAAATACTTGTGGAATTCATTTGGAAATTCGACCTCAATTCCTCATAATTTCCAAAACTAGCCACAATTTAGAATGGTAAATGAATTTCTTTATATTCCAAACAGAAAATAACTTCATTCAAAATTAACTCCTCAAAACTTATGAAAATTATTTATATTAAACGGTATATTAGAAAGAAGTTCATAGGGTTCATGAACTTTGAGGTGCAAATCCACAGGCCCCCCTCGACTTCTATAGGTGGGATTTAATGAAGGCTAAAAATTTATGATGATTATTTACCATTCAATCCTCATTTACTTTCTATATTTCATATGTGCCCTCATATTTCCTTTTTGTTCCTTCCTCATTGTGTCCGGCTTCCCCTCTCATTTTTTTCCATGGATTATCTTAGAAGAGCATTCCATAAAGGAGAGAGAGATTACAGGTGTGAAATGTGAAGTTGTAGGTGGTTGCGAGAAGATGTTAAAGTAAGATTTAGATTTTTATCGCTATTCTTGTTCTCAAGCGAAGAAAACCGTATGCGAAGTAATTGTGAAACTTTATAGAGTCAATCCTCGCGTAGCTCCGACTTTCCTCGAGTTTTTGTTGCACGATTGCTTCATCAAGTTAAATTGGATTTCAACCATGAGTGGTTCTTAATCGAGGTAAATTTGTGAGTCTGTTAGGGAATGAGATGTCCATTTGTGATTTGTGAGTTTAATGGATTTATATGAAAAAATAATTATAAATAAGGTCAATTGTGCTTCATGAAGATTGAATCGATGAATTTGATTCGAGTAGAATGAACTTTGGTGAACCAGGGTTTCGAATTGGGGAGAGAAGTCGAGGAAATGAGAGAGATTGACGTTGTAATTTTTTGGGCAAATACAATATATTAGCCATAACTATTAAGCAGCGGGGAATTATAGCCACAACTATCGAAATACAAATTATTAGTCAATCGTTAAGTTTTCGTTAACACTTCTGTTAGTAATGATGACTAAGCTTTTACGATGGTGAGTTGGCTCCCACGTGACAGTCATCATATCATATTTTTTACGATGCTGACATGGCTTTCTACGTTAAAAATTTGAAAACAGTAACGGGCTGTTAGCCAAATCTTGACCCACAACAATAGTTATGGCTAATAATTTGTATTTCGATAGTTGTGGCTATAATTCCCCGCTACTTAATAGTTATGGATAATATATTGTATTTACCCTAATTTTTTTCTTTGTTTTAAGCTTATTGAAACAATGTCGTTTCCCTTATAGTCGAGATTTGATCAATCCAATCAGACCTCTTCAAAATTTCCAAATCTGGCAATTTTGATCAACTCTCGAAACCATTAAAACTCATTGTATTTGCACCGCTTATATAATCGGTTTTGATCAGATTCGATTGAACCAACCAATCGGATACCGATTTGACAACCATACAAACAATCAAATAGAATCAAGTTCTACTTCTAAATTCTAATCAATACAGTCAACAAGTTGGAATTTAGGAAAATAACTTGAAAAAGTTGGTTTAGTCAATATATTTTTTTGCCGTAATTTTTAGGAACCTTATTTCTTATTGTTTCTCGCGTTAAAAAAAAAAAAGGAAAAAGGAAGCAAAACGTCTGTCTTCTTCAGCTCTCATCCTCCTTCTCTCTATCTTTCTTTCCTTCCCATCCCCCCGTGGCCGTTCTCTCTTTCCCTCTCCTTTTCTTCTTCGATCTCGTATACGAAAAAAAGCCCCTCTCTTCTCTTCTATCACTTCTCTTCCTTTTTCATATTAATCGTTGCTTTTTCATCCTCCCCGGATCTCTCTTCTTCTTCTTCTTGCTCTCCTTTGATCCCTTGAACCCCGTGAGAGAACTCCCCCTTCTCCTGCATCGTTCTTTCTCTCCACGAACCTATCCTCGCTCTCCTGCTCCTTCCCACTCTCTCTCTCTCTCTTCCAAAACTCTAGGGTTTCTGAATACCGTATCAACCCCGCCAAACGGAAAGACATATTTCCCCGACGGAGTGGAGACGGCTTCCTGTTAATCTCAGGCAAGTGATTCCACCTTCGCTCTGCTCCTTTGGTAATTTCGGTAATGTTGCCTATCGATTGGTGTCTGTGTGTGGTTACAGTGATAGAATTCGACGTAGTGGATGGTAGGGGAGGAAAGAAGGAAGGGAAAATTGGAGAGATTCTTACGTTTGCTAGTTTCCTGAATTTGATTGAAACTTAATCACTGCGCTTGAGCTTTTCTTTTGATGGTTGCTTGCTGCAGTTTCCGATGAGTGATTGTTTTACTGGGTTTGCTTGTTATGCTTTTGGTGGGAAGTGTTAGGCCTAGCGTATAATGTGATCCCATTGTGTACTCCACCGTTGAACGTGACGCTGTTTTCCTTCTACTTTCCACAAATGATGTGGAAAGTGGTTGAGAGTAGCTGGTTTCAGAATCGGTGCAAGGAAAGGCAAGTTGGACTTTCCACTTGCAGAGGGCTTCTCCTCTTAGGAAGTTTGTGATGGTGTTGGGACGTGAGAAATAGGTCTATAGGGTTACAAGAAGATGCATACTGCGTTATCGGTAACCTGCGGTTGCTTCTGTATGCATGCTCACTACGTAAACAATGCTTTGATTGCTTGGTGCAACTTAGACACTCTGTGCTCATTTGATTTTTCAGCCTTGTATACTGTGGTGGCAAATTTATACTCTGAGCAGTGCCTCTGATCTTATTTATTAATCTTCTTTGTTTAGGGACTCGGTTTTCAATTCTTAAGTCATCTTTTGCAGGTCGTTTCAAAACATATTTGGATTATAATCATGGGAGTCAGAGTTTCATGCAATTTTGTGCGTCTCATTGTTGTGCAGGTGTCTTTAGTGCTTTTGGATGACCTTGCTACGACCATTAAAATATGGCATCCAGTGCGTTGACCGGAGAGCGAAGGTACTGGTTCAGCTTTATCCATTTGAATAATTTCTGTTAGTTTCTATGTTAATATATGTCTAGCCCCATTATATCATATGATTAACTTCATTTGCTTGGTTGTAGGTGGTCTGCCAGAAGAGGCGGCATGACTGTTTTAGGGAAAGTTGCTGTACCAAAACCAATTAACCTGCCCAGTCAAAGGTGTATGCTATGATCCTTGCTATATTTTCATTTAGGGAGAAACTTGAAATTGTTTTGCTTCCATATTCATGTTTCCTCTCTTATGTGTGAAGGTTAGAAAATCATGGTCTGGACCCAAATGTGGAAATTGTGCCCAAGTGAGTATATCTTATCTTGCAGTCTTCTCCCTCGTCTGACTTATTCTCTTTTGTACTTTTCTAGTAATAAATATATAATCGCGATCCTTTCACTTGTTAGCCAAATAAATATGTAATCATGCTTTGGTCCTGCATTGTGCTGTAATGTTTTTGACACTTGGTAGGGGGACCCATAGCTGGGGCAGTAGATCATCTTCATCCTCATCAAATGCATGGGGTTCGTCTACTCTCTCTCCATCCGATGGTGGTACTGGTTCCCCTAGTTATGTTAGTGGTCGTCCTTCATCTGGTGGTGGCACAAGGCCATCAACCGCAGGTAGCGATAGAGGCCATGAACCTTTAGCTAATGCGTGGAGTTCTAGCTCTAGGCCGTCATCAGCCTCAGGTCCATTGACGTCGAGTCAGACTGCAATCACTGCATCTCGTCCTCGTAGTGCTGATACAAGACCTGGAAGCTCTCAGTTATCTCGGTTTGCAGAACCTTTGTCTGATAACTCAGTAGCTTGGGGTGCTAGTGGGACTACTGAAAAATTGGTATGATTTTCTTGACACAATTAGTCATTGTGATGTCCATCTTATTTTCATGATGATAAATGCAGGATAAGCATTTGTACTCTTTTTCTCTGTCTCTCTTTGCATAGTAGCAACTACTAACTAGCATGGAGACTAATGTCTGATGCTTTTGGCACCTGATAAGGAAAATAGTATAATATTTCTGGCACAGTAAAAATAACTGGAGATTTTTCTTACGCTTAATTATTATCCACTTCCAGTATTTGATTTGATTTTCTGGCGTTCTTCGTCCTGACACTGGCATTATAGCTTTCATATAGAGTGTGGTTTTCCTATTCAACCTGCTCTGCGTTTTTCATTTGTAGATGTGCTTGGTTTTGCTTGTTTGCTTCTTTTTCCCCCCCCCGGTGCTAGTCGCAGATATACAGCTGCCAGGACTTGCTCTTGAGAATTTTATGGGTTATATATTATCAAAACCTATTAACATTAATTCATTATTAGGGCAACTCTTCAGCAGTAAAAGGTCAAAACATGTATTGACTTATGCACGTTGAAACTAGGTGCCTGTAGCTTTCATAAGGGCTTGCATCTGACCTATAGAGGGTTTTGAACTTTTTGCTTACGTATCCTAAAAGTTTCTGTTCTTGTAGTAAAAATATTAGGCCAACTCTTCAGCCGTGAAGGGTCAAAACATGCTCTTGACATATGCATGTTGAAACTAGGTTTCTGTAGTTTTGACAAGGGCTTGCATCTGACCTATAGAGGGTTTTGAACTTTTTGCTTACCTATCCTAAAAGTTTCTGTTCTTGTAGTAAAAATAAAATAAAATATTATGCCAAACAACAAAATGCCAAAATCAATCAGAACTTGATATGTTCAGCTTGTATTTGTCTTCATCATTGGGCATATAATCTTGTCCTACTTCCAAAGCCAAGAAGTTTGGGTGTTTTGGAAATGAAACTTGAGTTTGTGTAGATTAGAGGGCTGATATGAGCATCCTCATCCAATTAGCCAACAAGAGGCATATTTGAAAACATAATATTGTCCATGAAAACATCTGTAATAAATGAATCATGATAACTGATTTTCTTTATGTTGTCATCCTTCATTATTTTGTTGGCCATATATTTCTCTTATGTTATTAATGAAAATATCTGCTACTCACTTTTGCAAATGCAGGGGGTGGCACCGTCTAAAAAGGATAGCTTTTCACTTACTTCTGGTGATTTTCCAACTCTTGGCTCTGAAAAGGAAACTTCTACGAAGGACACAGATATAGCAGGTTTTCTCCCTTAAATGTTGTTAAAGCTTGAGCAGCAGTTTTTCATGTTTTTATGCTAGATTACTGTAGAATTCCCGGAACACTTGGGAGTGTGCCATCGTGCTGTGTATGCAGATATGCTTACAGTTTTGACCTCATATGATATTATCTTCATGTAGATCATCACCTAGAACTCTGTTACATGCTATATCGACTGCAAGGTCAATAACAATTTCTCTGCTTTTGGGGTCATGGAGGCATTTGGCTGGGCATGAGGAAAATTATTGAATTAACAAGCTTTTCCCCTTTCCTTTGTGTGCTATTATTTATTCGGATCTCTGAGCTAGTTGGTTGAAGCGTTTAAGAACTTTTGAGACTTTAGTATTATTGACTTGGATGGATACAAGATGATGGCCTACTGTGGATTCTATGCTTGTTGATGCATGTTTAATTCCTTATGTAGTAGATAAACTCACGTCTTTTTTTGTTTGTTTGTTTGTTTGTTTATGAACTACTTATATCCAGAGCATGTTTTTCCTCATGACTCGCCTTCTGGCGGAGAACCAGTGAAAGAGAGCACAGCTGATGGTGTAGGTTTGTATTCTGCACTCGACTTTTCCTTCTGTATTTTTGGCTATAACTTACCTGACTCTCATATTGTAATGTTGGTTGCATGAATTTTACTGTTTCATGTCCTTTCTAGCCGTAGATTCTGGAAGCGCAGACTTGAAGAGTGACAATACAAATGCTTGGAGAAGAGAGAGTTCCTTCTATCAGAGAGAGGGAGTTAGGCCCAATGTTGAGCAATGGCATGCTGATCCTCAACCATATCCTAATTCTACTATCCCTCAACATTTCGATGCTTGGCACGGCCCTCCCTTGAATAATCATCCAGGTGGCGGTGTTTGGTATCGGGGTCCTCCAGGTGGTCCACCATTTGCGCCACCAGTTGGGCCTGGTGGATTCCCTATGGAGGCATTTCCTTATTACCGGCCTCAGATTCCCCCTGGTGCCATGGCAAATGCACAGGCAGTGCCCCCACAGCCATCAGCTGGTCCAAGAGGTCACCCAAAACATGGAGATGTGTTTGGACCTCCCATACATGATGCTTATATTCGTCCTGGCATGCCAATTAGACCTGGATTTTATCCGGCCCCAGTTCCTTACGAGGGATATTACGGTCCTCCCATGGCGTACAACAACAATGCTAACGAACGAGACATTCCTTACATGGGAATGCCTGTAGGTCCTGGTGCATATAACAGATATCCAAATCAAAATGCTCATGAATCTGGTAATTCCCATGGAAGATCCAGTGGATTTGGCTCTAATAATGGTAAAGGATTTGTTTCGGAGAAGGTGGAATCTGGTCATCATCCTCGTGATACTCAAGGCCCATATAAAGTTCTTCTGAAGCAGCGTGAAGGGTGGGATGGAAAAGCTGGGGAGCAGAAGTGGGATGATAACAGGGCAGCCAATGTGGTACATCCTGGAAATGGAGACCACCCTAGAAAGTCAGCTTTGGATAATGGCTGGAGAACAGATCAGGTCAAGAGAAACGATGGCATGGAAACAAAAAGAGTCATTTCTGGAAGAGATTCTGGCATTGTTGACCACAAAGCTGGTGCTTCTTCTGCCAGACCAATAGGCACTGAAAATGGTGTGACGCTAAATCCATCTGATACTGGTCTTGATCAGATATCAGAGCATGGGGAACATGGAGCTTCCTTTCCCAAATCAGTGTCATGCTCTAGAGACCCTAGTCTTATGAAAAAAATTGAAGGTTTAAATGCTAAGGCTCGGGCTGCTGATGGAAGGCAAGATGCCAAATCAGTTAGTAGTAGGGATGAGCAGAAGAATAAGCAAAAAATGGACAGTATCAGGAGCAATCATCATCCTGTAAATGAAGATGTAAGTGGTTTTGTTCCTCCGGAAAAACCAGCAAGTGATGCATCTGTCACCACTAGCTCCTTTGATGATCAGAGTTCTGGAACAGGTAAGAGTCTCGGCTTGACAGTTGCAAGTGGCGGAACAGATATAACAAGGTGAGTTTGTGACTCTCAGACCTTAACTGTCTCTACTGCCTAGTTTAGGAAAATAGAAAAACTAATTTGCAAATTTACAGGAGGTCTACTCAGGGTATGCATATTAAAACTGATCATCGTGGTAAAGGAAGATCTAGTACTCAGGATGCTGATAGCTGGAGGCGAAGGACTCAAGTTACCGAGTTGAATGATGGTATTTCAAGTGTACATGTAAGTTCTGCTGTGCGCAGCCATGACTGTACATCGGTTGAGGCCACTGAGAAGTCTGTTTCACATCAAGGCAATGATAGGGAGTCGATGCTACAAGCATCTGAGCCAAGTGATACCCAGGCACAGGTAGCCGAGCTTGTATTTGTCTGTTTATGTTTTCCTTGGTCTGTATACTTCTTATTATGTAGCCTTGTGCTTATTGTTTGTTTTACTCATCAGCGAGCTATGATGAGAGAGCTAGCTCGCCAGAGACTCAAGCAGAGAGAGAAGGAAGAAGAAGAGCGAACTAGAGAACAGAAGGCCAAGGCGCTCGCCAAACTAGAGGAGTTGAACAGGAGAATGCCTGGGGGTGAAGGTTCCTCTCAGAAGCTTGAAATTTTATCTAGTACTACTTTGCCCAACGAGCAAGAGGAGTTGCTGAACTCTGCCCAATCACCTGTAGTTGTCACATCTACGGGTAATTCTGTTTCTGTTTCCAACTCGGTTGCATTGGCACCTACTAATGAGGGCATTACAAATAGAGTCGAGATATCTGCCCCTTCATCTAATGAAGTACTGCCTCAAGAATCCAAGAAGAATTCCAGTGAAGCTCCTCTCGTAATGCATGATCCATCTAAATCACGGCGTCAGGATTCTGGTGCAGAAAGTGTTATTAATAATGCCAGACAGGAGTATGATGGTAGTGGGGCTTCAAAGCAGAAGCGCATGAACTATAGACAAAAGCAAAATAGTTATTCAGAAAAGACTTCTGGTGAAAAAGTCTCCTTGACCACAGCTGAATCATCAAAAAGTCATAGTACTGATGCGATGCCTAATCCTTCTGTTCCTGGTGAGTCTAATGCTCATGAGATTTCTTCCAACTCTGAAGCTAGTGTGCCAAGTGTGCCTGTCAGCCCAAATGCAACAGCCGAGTCTTCAACAGCACATCCGAGGAGGAAAATCAGGAGTACAAGAAACAAGCAAAAGTTGCAGGATGCAGCACCTCCTACTGCTGTTGCGCCATCATCAGCTCTCTCCATAGATACAACTACTGTTTTGGAAGCTTCAAATGACCGTGTCAAACCAAAAACTCCGGAGTCCTCTGCAGCTCCTAGCTCAGTTCAGCTGGTCCCTGATCGCAAAGGAGGAAATAGTCAGCAGCATATGGAGCAACAACATCCTACATCACCAAATGAAGATATCCATATCAAACCTAGTAGTAACCAGTGGAAATCTCAACCATTTCGAAGAATGTCAAGGAATCAACAGGCTAATAATAAAATGACGGATAGTAAATTCCATGGAAGCAGTGATACTGTCGTCTGGGCTCCAGTGCGGTCGCATAATATTAAATCCGAGGATGGTGCCGAGGAAGGGGATAAGAAAAGTGCTGCTAGTTTACCACCTGTGAAGAGTGGTGATCTGCAGTTGCAGAATGTTACCACAAAGAACAAAAGGGCAGAAATGGAAAGATACGTTCCAAAGCCGGTAGCCAAAGAAATGGCTCAGCAAGGAAATGCTAACCATTCTGTGGCTTCTCCAGTAGTTGTCCAGATGCCTGCACTTGAGACTATTGTTGGCAGTGTATCGATTCCTTTGGGGCCTGAAAGTTCACAAACCACTGTCACCCTCCAGTTTGGTTCCATTGCCGAAGCCACCAGGAATGGGCAGGGCACCAGACAGATTAAGCCTGTGACAGTACAGGGGTCATCGTGGCACCAATGTTCTTCAGCTGAATCGCAAACTTCAACCTCAAATCTTAGTTTTCAGAAGTCAACTGAGAGTCAGCAGCAACCTCATAACAGATCAGACGCAACAAGTTCAGTGAAAAGGCAGCCATCTGAACCAATTGATGAATGGACAGATGGCTGGACTATGCCTGAAGAGCCTGATGCACCGATTCCAGTCTCTAGTTTTAAGGATCAGACAGCTACTGCCAGGGGAAGACGGCAGCCACAGAAGGGACTAAATAGAGTAGGTCACAATCTCGACAGTGTGGAGACAAAAGTCAGCATGGACAGTGAAAAGGCTCATACTCGGTCTTGGCAGCCCAAGTCACAGTCAACTTCTGCTACTGGTCAACGGGCAACCAAGCCTAATAATAATGATGATCAGAATGTTGTTTCTGCAGAAGCTAGTAGTTGGTCAAATAAAAGGGGTTCAAGTTCAACCGATGTTGGGGTGTTTGTGCCACCACCTAAAGATAAGGAAGTAGCTGCTGGAAGGGCAAATGAAGTGCATCCTTCTGATCAAGAGGGTGGTAGGAGGGAGAGGAAGGTGACCTCTCACAAAGGACATAACAACTCTAGTAGCCCTGTGGAGCCAGCAGCCTCGGACCAAAACTATTCCTCTTCAGGATACAGAAGAGGCGGTGGAAACCAGTTCAACAGGGATCATCATCAGGAGTCTCGCGGGGAATGGAGTGGAACTGCCAGAGATAACAACAGGCAACATAATGTACCAACAGCAAACAAGGAAAGGGCGATGAAGCAAAGTTCACATTACGAGTACCAACCGGTTGGGCAACAAATTAAAAGCAAGGGGAACAACTTTGAGCCTTCTTCCAAAGATGTATCTCATGCTTCGCGTCCAAGGTTTAGGGAAAGAGTGCCGAATCACGCTAGACGTGGTGGTGGCGACTTTCATGGACGTCAAGGTGGCAGTTTTAGGGTATTAGAGACTAGTGATGAATAGAGATCTCAGCAGAGCGTCTTCCTTGCTTTGCATGGGGCAGATTGTCCTCCACACTCTGCAGGTAACTGGAGTTGGGTTGTAGCGTTGAGTTGTAGATACAGCTTAGCTAATTACTTTCGCTGATGATGCCATGATGAGTTAACCAGGATTTGGAGCAAATAACAGATTCGGCTGAAGGGCAGAAAGGAGAATCGGCACAGAAGTTGCTTGATTCCTTTGATTGCATATTCTTCTTTTTATTCTCTGTGTCTTGTTGGTGGATGAGAGATTTGAACCAGAACCAAGTAATTTGATCGTGCAGCTAGGTTTGCTGTTTGGAACCCCGTGGGTTTGAGCGGTAGTAGTTTTCAGTTTCAGTTTCTTTGCTCTGTTATGAGAAATGGAACCTCCCTTCCACTTGAATGTCTGTCTGGGCTTGTGGCTGGTTTGGTCGATTGTGTTATGACTTGTGATCAGGTGCTTTTCGCTCCCCCTGGACGGGATTCATTATGCCCGTAAAATAGTGGTTGATGATCTCAACTTGGGGGAAGAGACTTGCAGAGTTGGGAGGGATATAGCAATTTTTGACAGGATTGAGTTTGGTGGGTTAGGTTTGAGACAATTCGATCTTGCTGCAAATAAACAAGGAAACATGGTTATGTTTGATTGGGTCCCGATTATTTTTGGAAATTTAGAAACAAGGGGAGGATTGTCTACGATCTAATCCGCTGTTTTACTAGTCCTTCTTTCTTGGTCAAATTTTAGAAGCAAGCAAGCCAACACTGACTGGGTGGTTTACACTTTACACTGTCGACTTCAAGCCTACACACAACAATGACAAGGACCACCACATAGCTAACACCATCGATCCGGGCAAAATTGGTAGTGTTATTGTCCGTGTTTGTAAAACCGTATCGTACAATGCTACTAACAATCAGACCTGAAAATTCTTTGTTGGAGTTTAAATTGGTAGGTAATTTTTACCAACATGAAACAGATAGAACTACAATTAAATCACAATTCCAACGTAAATTACTTTGGTGCTGATTATTTCGGTTCAACTTCTTATACGATTTTATCATCGTGAAAGCAAAATCAGTACTGCAATGGGACTTGAGAGCACAAGTTTTATATACTTTACCCTACATAAGAAATTACATCATCACACTCCACTTTCTTTCTTCCTTTCTAACATTTTTTTACGTTTTTCCTTTGTCACAGTCGTGCGTGGCTGCTTCGAGGCCGAGCCGCCGCTTCACACGTCCACTGTCTCTCTTCTCGTCTTTCTATAGTCAGTCACTCAGACTCCGTTCCTGTTTGTTTATTTCCTTTCTTTTTGTCTGTATTATCCGGAGATGTAAAAAATTCCTGGCCGGGTTCCTTTCATGGTGCAATCAGATACCATATAAGTATTGGTTTCGTTGCATACTAAGCACTTCAATTTTTTTAGTTGCAACTAAACCATACAAATTGACTATCGGTTGCACCATTATATTTTACATCCGTAAACTTAACAGCAAGTATCAGATTGAAAATTTTCACCTCAATTTACACAATTCCATTTTCCCTCACATTCTTCCATTTTCATTTCGGTATTACTAGCGCTCTATTTAGTTATTTTTAGGGATGGCAAAAATATCTGTAACCGTGGATATCCGCCCGAATCCGGCCTAGTCGGGTAGGGTAAAACCCGAACCCGAAGGACATTTAGTGGGTACGGGTAAAACCCGAACCCGAATATTGCGGGTAATGGGTGGGCATGGATTTCTCACTATCCGACCCGAACCCGCCCGATTATACACATGCATATGTATTTTGTCTAGAAATAATCATTATTTTTCTCTAGCATATTTTATATGTAGCATATAAATATAACATTTTCATGAAATTGTGTTGTTTTAATTAATTTTCTTCATTCTAGTGAATTCTTGTCGTACTTTTTCTCTTATTTAATATAAGAATACGTGTGAATGTTAAAATATTGGTTGGAGTTATGAAGAAAATTAATATCCATGGATAACCGTGGATACCCGAAACCCGAACGGGTATGGGCATGATTTTAATTTTCTACCCGTTTGACATGTGGGTATGGGTAAAACCCGAAGTACTTTGGGTAGGGTAACGGATATGCACTATCCGCCCCGACCCGACCCATTGCCATCCTTAGTTATCTTATGACCTCCTTTATTTTTCCTTCAACATTTGTTATTGTTTCATTTTTTATTTAACTTTTTGGGTCTAATTGAATTAAACTTATGCTTCCTTTTAACGTAGTAAACCTTTTGAACTTATGTAGAATGTGAAATGCAATCCTTATTGTACTTTTTCGTTTATGATTTGTTTTGCACAATTGGCACCCCTTAATGGGTGTTTCTTTCGGGAAAATTTTTGCCTCTTTTATAGATGGTTTAAACTCATCTATTATGAATGAATATGTATATGCTATTTTTGGATATGTGTTGTAATGAATATTTGAGTTGAAAGAAGTTACAGCATAAAGAGTCTTCCTTTAACTAAGTTATGCACACCTGAACTTAGATGACGATCAGGGCAAAAAAAGAGAACATATTGAGATTAAATACAAGCGGATGATTTGAACTAGATGGGTGAAGAAGAATTAAGAAACGAGTATTAAGCAGTAAAATCGAGCGGCAAAAAGAGTGAAGTAATGAAGAACTTCCAGTTGAAGTTCTATCATAGCTTTGTTAATGGTGTTCAAGTAAAGAAAGACTTCCAGAACAAACTCAATTTTTCAACCAAAGTTCGCAGCCGAAACCCTCCCATCTCCGACTTTATAAATAACTTTACGAGAGGATCGACAACCATAGAGCAAGAGAAGAATTTCAAATGGCTTGTCTGATTGGGATTATTCAATCCTCATTTTTTATAAAAAAATATACTTTTTTTTTGTGGAGACTAGAAAGTGAAAAAAAATGGTATAGTGTAGATTAAGGTGGAAAAGTTTAATTTGATACTCACTGTTAAGTTTATGGATGAAAAATATAATAGTGCAATCGGAAGTTGAGTTATGTTATTTAGTTGCAACTAAAAAAATTAAGTGATTAGTATGCAACAAAACCAATATTTCCGTAGTATCCGGTGCAATTAACCCTTCCTTTCAGCCGGAAAATTAAATTTCAATTGCCTTTTCTTTTCTTCCAATTCCAAAAGCCCTAATTTTAAATCCAGCAACAAGATTCACAGCGGTCCTTCTTCCCCTTTCCTATCGTTCGTAGTCATATCCCTTTATCCACTCTTCTTATCGGGAATTCAATTCCCGTTTCCCCTGTTGAACCCGAACCCATCCATTAAGCAAGCCACTTCCTTCCACCATTGCCGTTATCTTCGTGTTCTTCCTCTCCAGTATATATAATCACCAGCTCTAACAAGACTTTCTGTCTTTGGCTTCCTCTAAGGGGATTCCAGCCGGGTTATGAACTCGCGCGCCCAAGGTTTACTCTCATCTCAATTTCATGCTGCAATTTGTGTCCTAATTTTGTACTCGGTGTTTGCTTCGGGGTTAGGGTTTCGCCTGATGGGTTGGTACTCGCGGGAACAAATTTGGCGGTAGATACAAGGGAAGAAGTTGGTGCGTTTTCATTTAGGCAATTTGATTTTGGTATATGAACTCTGATGATGCTTTTGACTTGCGCTTATGCTATGGTATGGATAAGCTTGACCAAATGTTTCGCCTATCTGATAGGCAAAACTGAACAGGAACTGGGAGCTGTCTATTGCTTTATAGTCTTGTTGGTTTTATGAGAGTACCGTAGAATGAAGAGCGGGTCTTTGATAAGGATTCTACTGTTTTGTAATTTAATCATGTTCTCTTCTCTCATGCTGTAGTTGCTTTACCTCTTCCTTTCCTCATTGATTGCTTATCTAGCAGCTGTTTTGTTTCCTTAGGCTCCATTGGATAGATGTGTTGGTGCTCAAAACCGGAGCAGAATGGCTTTGGCGACACATCAAATGCGGGTAAGTCAAAAGAAATGTAGGTTGTAGGGGCTGAAACTTCTCTTTGTATATCTCTTCATAGAGCGTTTCCTGTCATAGTCAATTCAGATCCCTAGGGTGCTCTTACTTTGTCTTTCTTTCTTCAATCAATCAACATGTTCGCCTGCCTTTTGTTTTCAGATTTTTACTTTGTATCTTCAATAGATTATAGAACCTCACATGTTTGGTTTCCCCCTTTTGTTCTCTACCAGGGTTCATATGTAGGATTTCCCTCAAGGCCTTCATCATGGAGCAGAGGTGTCAAATTAAAACAACATGTCATGTCACTGCACATGGTTGGGAGATTAGATCGGCATTTCTCAGCAAATTGTTATCTTCATTCAAGGTAATCATCTTTTACTAGTTGGACCACTTTTCCGTGGTAGCTTGGTCAATCTGCTGTTTTGAGAGTCAGTTCTGTAAAATCTTGGAACATATCAGTTGAGCAGAATAGTTTTCACAGTGTAGGGACTGGTGATCTTGGGCTCAAAGCAAAAATTTTGCAAGTTTCCTCCTTTCAAGGTAGCGCAAAGAACAGTGATGCAGGGGGGAGATCAAGTGGGTCCAAGGGCTCAAAGAATTCTGTCAAAATTTCATATGTCTCAGATGATAATGGAGAGGGCCTCAGAGAGCTTCCTAATGCTCAGAGTCTTCCGATATCATATACTTCTGAACCGAATGAAGGAGTTGGAGGATCTCCTGCTATTCATAATTTATTCAAGAAATGGTTAAACATGCTGCGGTCGCATTCGTCAAGTCAGGTGGCTGATGTTATCTTAGAGGAACCAGCTCAAAGGGAAGAAGAAGTAGCTCAACAAACTCAAAGTATTTCTCAGGAGACACAGAAACGTAGTTTCCTGTTCGAGATATTTCATTACTTTTGGCAGCTGGATGCAACAATAAAGATACCGATACTGATATTGTGAGTATATTTCTTCTGCTAGGCTTCTACCTTTATTTACTGCAGTTGTGGTTGTTCGGTACAATTGAACTGGAGATTGGTGTGCAGAATTAGGAATTTCGTGGAACCACTAAATATTCTGTTTGGAATGGGAAAATGGGCAACTGAAATTGTATCACTATAATTTCTACATTACCATTGGATGATTGAAGGGATTGAAATGAGTGAATTGGACAATGGTTGCACGTATAACTTTTGCAGTCTTTATGTTGTTTGGATCCCGTGATTTGAGAGTGTTCATACAACACATCATTTTTCCATCTACACTTTTTGGAAATATACACATTTCGAACCAAATGATGCATCTGATAACCTCATCTCAGCTTCTAGGTGAAGACAAATTCTAAATTTTGTTAGTTATTTTTCTTTTAGTACTATCCTTTCTTCATATTTTCAATTTAACTCTAAATTTATTGTAACTAGTGGTCATTTAATGACATAAAGAATTCAAATTTTTGAAATCATTATCAGGACGCCTTAAATGGCGCAGTCTTACTAAGGACATACGTCTTAACAATCACAATTTATTCTTGAATGGATTATATATATTTCTCATTGTAGAGCTATTTCTCATTTGTCATCATATACCATCTAATATCTATTGCAATTTAGGATGGGTTATTTTGTATTATCTGTGAAAAATATGGAAAACTATGTCAAGAAATTTCATCTTGTTGTGGATTTGGTAGATTCTTAGATAGAGGCATGCATTTGACTTCGAGCAATTCTAGGAATGGGAGTTTGTTTGATTCCATGAGATTGGTGCAATTCATACTGGAAGACCTTTTTTATGGTCTCAGCAGTTTTGGAGCTTGGGCTTTTCCTTGTAAACAATTTTAGGGTTCTATTGCTTTCTGTGAGTTGCATTACAAAGATGGTCACTTCTCAATTCAGCTAGCTTTTGATTTGGCAAAAATACCAACTGAGTTTCCTGTATTTGCAGTATCCCTTTGTATCTGGGCATCAACACTATTTATGGAGTTGAAGTGTCAAAGGAATTGACTCCTTTGTGGGTTTTGGGCCCTCTCGTTGCTGCCCTCTACGTCAAGCTGCTTCAGGGTATCTGGGCACTTTACGTCTTCAGCTTTAGACAGACCGTCCACATAGTGAAGAATTTACCTACTTATTATCAAGTGGCCTGTAGCTACATTGCAGGTGGGAAGCTCAAACAAGAAATCGGGGCTCGTTTCATACGACCAATTGTGACAATAAAAAATGCGGACCATAAAGAAATGGTGAGGCAAAGGATGATGGTACTCAAGGAGTGGCTGACTGAGAAGTACCTTGACTTTGTGGAATCCATATGGCCCTATTACTGTAGAACAATTAGGTTTTTGAAGAGGGCAAATCTTATATGATGTTGGTGTAGTTTCAATGTTGTTGAAGGATGAGATTTCCGAAGTTGGATTTCCGGCAGAACATGTCGCAGTTGGAGGAGAAAGAGAGGCTTCCGAATACAGGGAGGGGCTGGCGAAGAGTAAGCCTTTAGGTTGTTGGTTCATCTATCTATCTTCGTTAATCCCTTGTGTTGTAGCATGTTCTTTTGAGGGTTCCATGAGGGCATGGAACAGTAGGTTTCGACGCCATTTTGGCTTATGGTCGAGTAGGCATTATTATTCTTTCACCCCCACCTTGTTTCTATCCAGTGGTGACATGCTAGCAGCAGAGAAATGTCTGTGTCACCTGTGCGAAATCTGCTATACTATCATCTCTATGTTGTACTTTCACAGTCTGAGTTGCCCCATCTGCATAAAGAATATTTTTGGCCCTCCATATGGTTTCTGAGGACATCTTGGAAGAGCGAAGGATATTGTTTACTATCATTCAGGCGGATGTCTGTCTTCTTTCATTTCTTTTGAAATCGTGGAACTTCAGAGAGATTTTGTTTGGTGGAACTTCCGTTGCTGTGGGATGCAAATAGGGTGTTAACTGGCTTGGTTTGGGTGGTCGATGCAACGGCAGTTCAATTTTGCCGTAAAAACCAATGTGCCTTTGGTGATCTGTTTCTTTCCTTTTTCACCCCTATTTCCAGTTTAAGGCTTAACAAAAAGATATAAACAACGAATCATTTTGATAGACTTGCTGGCACTGGAGCAAGAGGCAAATGCTGCATTTGATGGGAATGGAGAGTAAAAATGGAGTGATTGATAGCCAAAAGCTTTGGATTGTACATTATAAGTTGCTCAAGATACTTTTCAGTGCACACTAGGGATCATCCATCAGAGATACATGATTGACAACAAGAGAGATGTCTGGACAAGTAAAACTGGGATTTTACACACATAATATCGCTTCAGCCGTACCATTTCCACAATGGATGTTGCGATTCCATTTCATTTCCTTTGTGACTCGGACGCAGTGCTTGGCACAAAGGGATGTTCTCATTCGTGAAATTACATAGGGTCCATTGTCACCCATGCAACATGACCTTTTGGCTTATGTAACACCCCACCCTAAAAAAAACTCATGGTGTGAACCAATGATTCATCCGTGCAACAGACTCTCTATTGACGATTACGTTCAGGGATGTACATGGGTCGGGTGGTTTAGGTTTGGTCATTTTAATCACATTCACATGACCCATATACTACGGTTTTGAAAATATTAAATCCAAAGCCACCAAAAAAAAACTAGAACCCTACGGTTTATTTATAATTGGGTTGGATTAGATGTATATATTTTTAATTAAAAACCCAACCCAACACAAAAAAGGCAACTATTCAACACTACAAAATATTATATAACTATTTAAAATTTTTGTCAAATAAATCAAGGCGAAAAGTACCAATATGCATAAATGTTGTTTTGATTTTAATGAAATGCAATTAACTTTAACATATGTCTAATTTTTTTCATAAATATTTGTTGAAATAAGCTAAAATGGTTATAAGCTACCACATTCATAATATATTGATCTTCTAAAATTGTACACAAGAAAAAAGATTACATGAATCATAACTTATATTAAATCTACGTCTAAATATTAAGTTGAAGAATGTATTAGGCTATGGAAACCACAAGACGAAAATGTGATACAATATATCTTATTTTTCTCATAAATATGTTTATTTACGACACAAATATGTTTTAGTATGAGCCCTTATGACTATAGTTCAACACAGTTTGGGTCGAATTCTAGGGGTTGTATTATCCAAAATTCGCACCCAACCCAATAAAAGCGGGTTGTACAATAGAAAATCCTCACCCAAATTTAAACTTTAAAAATAAAGATATATACGGATGGGTTGGGTTGGGTTGGATGGATGGATGGATGGGTCGGTTTGCGGGTTGTTTTGTTCACCCTAATAGCGATTGAGTTCAAATCCTTTACTTGAAGTAAAATTTCCAAAGTTTTGACCTACCTCAAAGTTAAATATATTGTACCTACTAAGCATACTCAAACCATCAACTAGTAGGATGTGAAATATAAATTACTTCAAAAGTAGGAAAACGACCAAAAGTCCAAAACCAATTCTCCATCCATCACTATGCAGTGTGAGAGTTTTATCAATTCACTTGACACCTGCAAAAAACTAATAACGAAATGAGGCAACAACTTAGCTAAATGTGTGATTGCTCCCAGCTAGAAAAATGAATTCATAATAAGACAATCAATTATCATTTTCAATTCATATTGTCTTATGAATGGATGAACATCATTTCATACAATCAATTTTCCACTAGTACAATCATCACACAAAATACTTAATCATCCGTAATGATCACACATCACTTTAGGCACTTGATCTTTTGTGGTACTTTATTTCCGTGAAAACATACCTTACCGTTTTCATGTTTAAAAACCTCTTATTATACCACTTGAAACTTTGCAATCAATTTTAACTCACTTTATTCACACCCTTAGTTCTATGAGATTATCATGAAACTACATATTACCACGAACCCTCTCATTCTCATCTAAGTCATTTTCCTTAACGGCCTGTTTGGATACAATTCCGGAAGAAATGAAAATGGAATTTCAATTCCATTTTTAATTTTTATAGAATTTCATTTCTAATTCTACTGTTTGGTATAATTCCGACAACTACGGAAATGAATTGCACTTTTAACCATAATAAATAATGTAATATGTTTGTTTTATTTTGGGAAATGAAATATGAATGAGAGAGAAAAAGAGTAAAATGATAGTGGGTCAATAAAATAATAAAAAGTATTGATGAGTCCCACTAATTCCAACTTCATTCTCTCAATTTCATTCACTTTTGATAGGAATTGTAATTCCCAAATTTTAGGCCCAATAAAATTCAATTATCAACCTTTTTATTATTATTAATAATAATATATGGAATTGGAATTGGAATTCCAATTCCTTACTTTTTTGTCAATCCAAACAGGCTGTAAGAGTTCTGAAAGGTTAATATTATGGAAACCATTCTGCTACATCGTCATCAGATTTTTCAGCTATTAAAAATCATGGTAGCTATTTAAACAAGTTTTTACCGATCTCGTCTCTCCGCAGTTTTTAGCTCATAACTTCTTTTATGATAAAAATTTCCCTAATATTGATAATCTACTCGCAATTATTCGGGTGGGTGTTGGGTGGATTGTGAGTCACCCAAATGACCCGTAACATATTTTCATATGTCAAAAGTTATTTTTTTATTTATTTATGTCATCAAATAGTCATCATATTTCTCAACCATACTGCACATTAACCATCAACTTAGTGAAGTATAAAGAATATTTTTGGACTACTAATATTGGTTACTAAGTTGTGTAATGTCTATTAGATACTGGAATGCAAATTATAAACTATTAATTGTATCAAAGTTACAAATTGTTTAGTTTTGTCTAACAATTAGTTGGAGTAAGAAAAATTTTTATGCAAATACTACATAGATCCCCAGGAGACAAATTAAAATGATAAGTCTCTAAATTGGTACAATCTTACTAATTTGCAATGAATTTATTATAAATATTAGTCAACTTTCTTAATGACTCATTGCATAATTACTTTTGCGAGTTAACTCACAACCCAATCGCACTGACACCACATCAGTTATCCATCCTATCCAACCCTAAAAAAAATGTGAGTGAATAACAAATAACAATTGTACCAACTCACTAATAAACGGTGGTGGGTGAGGAAAACTCTCCCAACCCTCACATTGCCTACCACTAACTAATACTACCGATTATAAGAAGATCTCCCATGAAAATAATAAGATTTAAATGGCTCTTTTATTTAAGAGGTTGTTCGAAACAATAAAGCACATATATGAAAACTATCCATATCAAACAATCCATAAAAAGATATCAAATGCTGCCATTAGTGTTATACCATATCTCGCGTGTAAACAACAAGATGCTCTAGCAAATTTTTATGTGTATAATAATAATGGTCTACTGCAAAACATTTTGCATATTAAAATATTTTCACTTCTATTTAACTAAAAAAAGATTGTATTAGAAAAAAGAACACCACCTCCTATATTTGGATACTGAAATCAACGTGGAGATCAATCTGTTCTCTTCTTTGTGGGAGAGATTCCAATTCATGAATGGAAGTCCTTATAAATGCCATTGCTGCCCTGCTGATATGCCACACATTCATTCCAAGCTTTCAACTTCATTTCTTCAGTAAGTAATCGATTAAGCATGCTTTTGGAAATCCTTCCATTTTTTTTTATCATGGCAATGACTACCATTAACCATGAGATCAAGTCCTCCAACATCTCAGCACAAAAAATGTTCAAGGCTGTGGTCCAAGAAAGCAACACCACCTACATGACCGTCTTTCCTCAACTGATCAAGACTATCGAGACTATTCAAGGAGACGGCGGCCCTGAAACAATACTCAGGTTCTACTTTATTGATAGTGGTAAACATTTCCCTCTTTGTGTTTTTATTTCGTCACAATTGTTTCTCTGCGGATCGAGAAATAGGAGAAACGAAAAAAGTAAGAAATAATGAAAACAAGAATGAACACGATACACGAATTTACGTGGTTAACTAACACGATGTGTGTTAGCTGATCCACGAGCAGGTGAGAGTCAGTTTCACTATACTTCGAGAAGATACATATTACATATTAGTATGAGAAGTATTTATACTACTTCTCCACATGGTCTAACTCTAGGTAAAGGAAAACGGTTAGAGACCAAGCTCAAAAAAGAAACTCAAATAACATTGAGCCCATACACGATAGATCAGGGGCGTTGCCCCCTGTACCCATGACTCCCAGTAATAGTCAAATAGTCTGATTCAAGTCACGTCAATTTTTTTTTTAAATTAACTTCACATCGAGCGATATGAACTGAAAAGGTTGATATATTAGGATGCACTGAAACTAATTATATATCCACATGTATATTAGAGGCTTTGACCAAAAGGTTGATCTTAGTGTTTAATTAAATTCTCATCGTCCCCAATATTATCAAATGGTTTATTTAAGCATAATGTCCGATGTTCTTCTGTGTCTTTATTTGAATGTGCATGCATGTTCAAAATTAATACGATCGAGATTCATGATTTGTCATCTCTCTCTCGATAACTTGAGTTATCAAAGAGAGGAACCATTGGTTTTAGCAACAAACTATTTTCTTGACTTCTAGTAGTACTAATTATATTCATTCTATTAACCTTGACGAGTTGTGCGATTGCAGTGACAACTGAATTAATGTCCTTGGAGATCAAGGTGGATGTTGCTGACCCGTTGAACTTGTACGCCAAGTACACGATGACGGACACAAATGATGAAGTCGTGGTGAATGAGTTGAAGTTTGAGGAAGAAGGACAAGGTTGTGTCTGTAAGTTAACTACTCATTATATCAAACAAGACGAGGAAATACACAGTGGGGCAGAAAGGGCATTGCGTGTATACAAGAAGGTGTTGGAGTTTCTATCAGCAAATCCCCATATTTGTGATTAAGTTAATTATATGTGTGACAAAATATCATGGCGATATAAAGATTTGTTTTTACAAGAAAACGGTCACAAATCAAACAAAGTGATCATTTCATACTATTGTTACCATGTTGTTACAACTTTTGGTGACCTTTTGTACAACTTTCAAAGGTTTGAACGATCAATCACGGTTATAATTTGCTCCAGTCGAGGTATGATGCCTTTTTTATTTATGTGAATGATATGATCGTAATAAAGGATGACAGTGCTCATAAGATAAAATAAAGGATGACAGTGAGAGATTTCAACGCCTCGTAAATGAGTTATTTATTTAGAGAAACTAATTTTTTGTTTATTATTTTGTGAAAAATATGTCCAGAATTATTTTTTAAAACAATGACGAACCATGAAAAGATTAAAATAAAAAATATAGGTTAGCATACGTATAATTAACATTTAAGTTAGAAAATCCAAATGAAAAAAGTGAGACTATTAGATTTGAGAGTGTATGGTTGGAGTAAAAATGTGAAATGAGAAAGTAGGTGTTTAAAAGAAAATGTATTAGATTTGAGAGGCATACTTGAAGTTGGTCTAAGAAGGTAGCAATGCAGGGGAATAGGGTAAAAGCTATATTGCCAAGTCAACACCAAATGAGCTTATTTAACCGTTGACTCACGATCAACAAATGGGAAGTAGGGATGACAATTGAAACCGCCTCATCAGGTATTATCTGATCCAATCCGCGATAGGGCGGGTATTATCCAATTCGCAGTAGCGTGAGTGGGGCATGGGTATCTACTTTCGATCTGCTCTACTCCGCTCGGCCCTGTGTCTTTGTCCATTCTATGTTAAAAAAAAATTATAATATCTATTCATATTTCTCCTATTTTGACTTTTCTTCAACTAGTTAAACTTGATATTTCAACTAGTTAGACTCAATTACGCATTATGTTATCACTATTTTTCATTCATAAAGTGTTTTCCCTTCGTTTTATCGTACAAAGTCAAATTTGTGCGTGTATATTTTTCAAATAACATGTAAGTGTGGGTCAACCCATCTCGCCTTGTACCCGCACGAGTATTACCTGCCCGACCCGCGCTTGGTGCGGGGCCAGTACGGGAATTGAGGTACTCGCCCCGCTCCTCCCCATTGCCATCACTAACGGGAAGGATCAACTTAGGAATTTAGTCGTAGTTTAAGGGGTTAAATAGGAAAATAACTATTCATGGACTTCAATAGGAAAAATCCCATAGTTCGAGGGCCAAAAGTATATATAACTAATTTATTTACGTATGGTTGTAGATTTGTGAAAAATTATCTTCAAATATGTTATATATGTGTAAATTCATTGAGTGTTAATGATTTTTCACTATCCTACATGTGCTAAACTCGAAATGAACTGGCATAAATCGGTTGTATTACTCGTCGAACCATACCACTAATCAAACCAAAATAACTGAATAAACCAACAACCTACCAAAGACACAATCAATAGGTTGTATTTAATGTTATGAAATGATAAAATCAGGATTAAACTACGATTTCATCGTAAAATGCCCCAAGCTTTTCTGATATACCATATTTTTATCATTGGGCTAAGCTATACTTTTTGGGTCAAATTTCACGCCCATGTTTACCTCTCGATTCTCGATAGAAACTAGAAAGCGACGAACGGGGCCGCTTCGTTTCTCTTCTTCTCAAGTCAAGTCTTGTATTTCACTTCGCCTAGTCAGCGCCGTGGCAGAATAACTCCAAAACCCAATTCCTTAATTTCTCTGAATTCGTCAATTCCCACGAGAGATATCTAACAGTTCTCCTGCCTTAATGGGTGTGAACGTTCCCTAGTTTACAGTCTCCGACTTAGACGGCGGCGATTCATCGGCGTCGGCGTTGGCGTTGCAACACATAGTTCAGAAAACCTTGGTGTACACATGGCTGTTAAAGCTGGTTCCTCTTTTGTATTTTGTGGCGCGTCGTCGCTTTCTTCTCCGCTTAAGCTACGTGGAAGCTCCAAGGTTTTCCCTTTCTCTTGTCCTCTAATATCAAAACTACTGAATTGTTCTGAATCATTGGTTAAAGTGGCCTGCTTTTAGTGTTTGGATGGTGAATTTGGTTTCTTGGTAGTGTTCACCCTGGTATCTCTGATTTCCTTAATCAGTGAAACTAACTTAGTTCAGGTTTCTTACTTCAATGAAACCATTTGTGGTTCTAAGTAGTTGCCGGTTTGCATAGGTAGCAAATGTGCATTGTGAATGGGCTGTCATTGTTAAGGATTCATAGTTGGTTTTTAAGGGTAATCAATTGGCTTTGTCCAGTGTTAAAACTTGTTCTGAACAACTGCTGGGCGCTAATCACATGTCTTTCCTAGTAGAATCAGTGCCTGAAGCATCGCCAAAACTGGCGTCTGTTTCTGGTTATGATCGGTTATTATACATTCAATTTGATAATATTACCTCCAGCATTCCTTATGATGTTGAAGTAAAATCTGTATGAGGTGCTTGATTTTTTTTTCCCCAGTATTTGATCTCACTTGTGTTTTCTTGTTCAGCTAAGCTCAAGAGATGGACCATGTGGTAGCTTTCACTTTGGAATTCGGAAGTTCCGGAATGCTACAGGTGAATGTCAATGACGATTGCGATTGTCAAATATGTAAACCCTTCTATACGAGGCTTTCTGTGGCACTTTTGGAACTTGTTTTCAGTTGTTTGTATGCCTGGTTTTTGTGTACTGAAACAGTAACCTAGTTTTAGGTAGTCTGTCCACAGATGTGAACTTCAGTCCTATTCAGCTTCAATGCACAACGGCAGTTTCACTTATGCATTTACGAGCATCCTTTAATTGTCTTCCTGTTTCTTGCAAACAGTTAAAAGCACCTTTACCAGTTGCTGGCTGCAAAATGAAAGAAATGTCAAGATGACCCGGAAGAGGCTCTCAGCAACTTCAGAAGGCCAGTCACAGTATGATGACGTTAAATCTGACGTGACCGAGCAAGAATATTATGCTTCTAATCCAGAACCTACATCCACCACTGGCACTTCATTCAGCGATGTTCAGGGAACTGGTGGAAAACCAGGTCTTGTTTCATTTTATAGCCATCAATATAAGCCAGAAGAAGCCGGAGTTCCTGCCGCTGTTGCATCAGGAAACAGTCAGAGCAGCCTATTGTGGTTCCTTGGTCCAGCTGTCCTCGTGGCCTCTTTCATTTTCCCTTCCATCTATTTGCGCAGAGTACTCTCCACAATATTCGAGGATTCTTTGCTCACAGGTAAACTTGTTTGTGTTGTTGTAGTGATCTAATAATTTGCTTTTCAGTTTGTTTCCATTGAGAAGAACAAGAAGCGTGGCAATTTCTGTCATTTCTAGCTTTGGATACCATGGAGAATACGATATATGGATGAATGACTTTGGTGTTTAAGTGGTGTTCTTAGAATTACTTTAATTGTCTAATTGCATGGATGTTTGATATAATTTATCCGAAGTTTGAATCGATCATAGACCTAAACAATTCTGCTTTAGGTTCTACATAATGCAAGTTCACTAATAATTCTGGAAAGAGATAATGGTTGACGAGAATGACAAGGAAAGATGGTGATATCAGAAGTTCTGGTGGTGGTTTTGTATAGCCCTAACTTTTTGTGTGAACTCGCACATCTTGGAGATGGAATAGAGAATGGATTGATCTTAAATGCTCGAGTGAGTAAGATATGCAGGATGCACTGGTGCCAGAATACAAATGTTAAATGTGAAATTAAATAAGTACATGGTGTGGATGAGAACAACTGAAGCATGATAGACTTGTTAAAGATCAAGCTTCAAGCTTAATGAGTGGTGGATCAAAATCTAAATGTAATTTACCGGAGGGAAACTTTCCTCTGTGGCCAGTCCTGGTGATGGGGTTCTTTGCTGATTGATTTGTTCTCCCCCTCCTGTTATGTGGTCTTTGATTGCTGACATATGAAATACAAGCTTTCTATTTTTTTTTTCTTTCTTTTTCTGGCTTTGTCTTAACTATTATGCTTTTAGTATCCATTATTGCTTCTTTTCCTGGTACACTTTGGTGTTTGTCTCCCCTTGGCTCCTTCTTTCAGTTCCGTATGTCGATTTCCCAGTACGCTATTTTCTTTAATACAATGTTACTAAGATGAAATAGGAAACGAGAAGCACAGTTACCTTTTGATATGGGTCATTAAGCGATACTCTGGTTAGGAAACAATATTGTTGTTCTGTATAATCTTGGAAATCAATGGAATGATCTCTTTTGCATTCATTGTGCACATAGAAGTTCCAATGGACAAAAATTATAGCCTAGTCCAGTGGCTCCTTGAAATATATTGCTCAGAGATAGAGGCCAGTACTTTGGCAGTTATTAGTTATCTTAAAAAAGATTCAATTCACCAGTAGCTGCACAAAGTTGGCTTCTTTCTCATTCCTATTTTTCCTTGTTCACTGTTGAATGATTTTTCCTTGTCTTTGCAGATTTCCTCATACTGTTTTTCACAGAAGCAATCTTCTACTGCGGTGTCGTCATTTTCCTTCTGCTGATTGACCGTTTGAGAAGGCCTGATGATGAATCCGAACCCATTCCAAGCAATCAAGCCACAGTGTCTCCTCCTCACTTAGCTCAGAGAATATCTTCTGTTGCTACCTTGGTTCTGAGTCTTATAGTTCCGATGGTAACCATGGGTTTGGTCTGGCCATGGACTGGTCCTGCTGCTTCCGCCACTCTTGCGCCATACTTGGTTGGAATTGTTGTCCAGTTTGCATTTGAGCAGTATGCTAGATCTCGAAACTCGCCTTCTTGGTCAGTGATTCCTATAATTTTTCAGGTAAGGATAGCCGCGACCAATTTCTAATGCTTCATATTTGGCGCGTTTGCTGTCTTAGAGCCGCGGTATTGTCACATACTTGTCCTATTACTACACGCATCACCTCTGAGAAGGGATCTTTAGTTCGTTGTGCTAGTGAACACATATCCTGTTTATTGACAGGTTTATCGACTGCACCAACTAAATAGGGCGGCCCAACTAGTCACAGCACTGTCATACACAGTGAAAGGGGCCGAGATGACTACACATAACTTGGAGATAAGCAGCTCCCTCGGGACACTTTTGAATGTTCTGCAATTCCTTGGAATCATCTGCATTTGGTCTCTGTCAAGCTTCCTCATGAGGTTTTTCCCATCAAACACACGGAAGGTTACACCTTGATGGCAGAAAAAATTGTCAGCTGCCAACTTCAAACCGTGCTAATGCTTTTCTTTCTTTCTTCATAGTGGAAGTTTTTAACTGTTTAGTAGAAGATGACACCAGGATGGGTTCATGCTGATGCAGACATACTCTTTTTGCCGTATTGGCCTTCTGCTATTGGTAGCATGTATGGGCCATTTCCCTCATCTTCAACCCTGTATTTTCCCCCTACATGCTACCACGCCTGAGAATATTCATCTGCTCACATCAATTCTCCCACCTTGATGGTTGGAATTAAGTTGTTATGTAGATGGGTGGGGGATATTGCTGATATTGTTGGATTGTCCTCTCAAGCATTTTCAGTTGTTGCATCGACTTTTTTGTTGATGGTGTCAATAATATATGCGATTGAATAATTGGGTAATTGGGTTTAAGTATTTAAGACGATCCAACGACTTCAACATGCACTGAAAGGTGTTAACAGCCTCTTACCAATACAGTAGTAACATTCTTGTCAATGTACGCAATTCAACGACTGGGCACATACATGAAACGCGATCCCACAGTTCTATTTGAGTGTTTCACCGACTTGTCTATTTGGTCTACAACTGATGACTTGGCACGCAAGGCTGATTCCTGAGGGTTTAGAGTAAGTATGTGTGCGTGGCAGCGTGGGTCAACAATAGATTTAATTTTGTGCATAGGGGAATACGAAAAAGAAGAAAAAATAGTGTGTACTGTTCAGGTACTTTACCAAAAAAATCTCAGTCAAAAACACAACAAGAAAAAGTCAACAATGTGTACCGCGGAATACGGAAAAGTAAACCCCGAAAAGATCAAAGCAGACGATTCTTCTACAGCATTCACATTTCAAAATCACACCAACTGATCAGCCCCCACATCATTTAATTTATCACCACCACCGTCGCCGGTCAACTCACTATCCCACCCGGCCGGCGGCGGTGTAGCCGCTTCCGTATCCTCCTCCCCAACCAAAACCGCCGCCACCTCCTTCATGTCGGGCCTCCTCTCCGGATCCGGATGGCAGCAAGCCAATCCAAGCTTCAACACCGACTCCATCTCCTCCGCGCCGAATTCCCCCTTCACCCTCTCGTCCGCCGCCGCCACCACCCTCCCTTCGGCGTACAGATCCCTCACCCAATCGAGCAGCACCCTGTCATCCTCCGCCTCCGACCCGAGCTCAATCGGCCTCCTCCCGCACGCCACCTCCAGCACCACCACCCCGAAGCTGTACACGTCGCTCGCCGCCGACGGCACGGCGCTGCTGGCCAGCTCCGGCGCCAGGTACCCCAGCGTCCCCACCACCCGCGTCGTGTTGGGGGCGTCGTTGTGGCCGTACAGCTTCGCCAGCCCGAAATCGCCGACGCGGCCGCGCATCTCGGCGTCGAGCAGGATGTTGCTGGACTTGATGTCGCGGTGGATCACCACCTGTTCCCACCCGTGGTGGAGGTAGCTCAGCCCCTCGGCGACGTCGGCGAGGATCTGCCGGCGCTGCCTCCAGTTGAGGAGCTTGGTTTGTTTGTAGAAGATGTAGCGATCCAGGCTGCCGTTGGGCATGTAGTCGTATACGAGCATCAATTCGTTCGATTTCCGGCACCACCCTCGCATCTGGACCAGGTTCTTGTGCTGGAGACGCCCCATGCTCGAGATCTCCGCCATGAATTCTCTGAGACCTTGCTTGGAGTCGTGATTCACGCACTTCACCGCTATCTCCGTCCCGTTTCCGGCGAGCGTGCCTTTGTAGACCTTCCCGAATCCACCGGAACCGAGGAGTACGTCTTTGGAGAATCCATTGGTGGCTTGGGTGAGTTCCTCGTAGGAGAATCTATGTGGCCAGTACTCGAGTTCCCAATCTTCAATTTCGTCTTCTTCTTCTTCTTCGTCTCGATTCCTCTTGCTTTTCATCCAAAACCAAATCCCTAGACCAAAAATCGCCAGAAAAGCAACACAGCCGATCACGATGCCCGCAATTGAACCGGCGGACAGCGAATTCGAACCTGAAGACGGCAATCTGAAAACAGGGAGATTGGTGGTGTTGAGCTCTCTGGCTGCTACCCCTACAGTATCGCTGAAACTCCACGCCAAAACCCTCTGTGCTTCGACCCAAGTGGTTTTCGAGGCAGAGAACCCCACGAACATTTCGGCCGAGACGTAATTGGCAATCGCTGGATCTCTGTATGTAAGAGTCGGGGCGGACGGCCGGGGAATCCCAATCGGCGCGACCGTCACATTGATCTCGAAATTCCTACCGTCGAAATCGATCCAAGCGCGGACGTTCTGACCGCTTCTCATGTCCAGGGGGACGAATCCTCCGGAGGAATTGTAGTAGCCGGCGGGTTCGGTCTTGGCTGATTCGATGTTGTTGAGGTCGATGCCGATGTGGTTCCCGTTGGGGTCGTTGAACTCCGGGTTCTGGCCGGTGTCGAACTCGACGGCGAGGAGTGGGGCTTGGAAGGGGACGGTGGCGTTGGTGAAGAGGCCGAAGTACTGGCTGGCGAGGGCGTTGGGCGGGTCGGTCCAATTGGAGAGGACGAAGGCGAGGCCGAAGCCGGGGCTGGTTGCGATTTCGGGGAGAACGGAGAAGATGAAGGATGTCGAAAAGGAAGAGAGGGTGGTGGAGTTGTTGTTGGCGGCGGCGCCGGTGGTGGTGGTTCGTCTCATGGGGATTCGGGTCGGGTAAAAAGCGCGACCGAGGGAGTACTGGTTGGTGTCGTTGGTGAGTCGGATGACGGACGAGTCGACTCGGGCGTCGGGGATGAGGGTGACTCCTGGGTTGGTTGGGTTGAAGGAATTGAAGATGAAATCAACGGCGAGACATGGATGGAAGAAGAAGAGGAGGAGGAGGAGGAGTTGCTGCCACCGGCGGCGGTGGCGTGCTGGGAGAAGAGGAAGCATGCCGGCGGAGGAGGAGGTTGAAGACGCAGAGGGGATTTACTCGGATTGGGTGTGGAAATGGTGAACCATGATTTAGCCAAAGGATAATTCGGTGCTACGGGGGAAATTAATTGATCAAATTGCGTGTTGGATTTTTATTATTTATATTATCAATGGCAACTTCCAGCGGGGTCTGCCAGCCGCCGCCACCACCGCTGTTCGTCTTCCCGTTGAATTGTTGAAAATTTTGAGGGGGGAATGACATATTTCTCACAAAAAGTGATTATTACCTTTTTTTGGCGAAATATCGTTATATGGCACAAACTTTGATCTTGTTCGCAAAAGTACCCCTAAAATTTCAAATTGACAGACATTGGACCACAATTTCAACTTTGAACAGTCGGTACAAAACAACCGCATTTATTCCACTGTTGCCTACCTTCTTCTACACGGCATTGCTTACTTCTCCAAGCTCTTCAACAAAGACTTGGCAGTGTCGATCCCTGCTAAGTAAGCACCACTAACCCATCCAAAATACTTCTTGTGGAGATGCTCCCCTGTGAAGTAAACCGGCCCAACTGCAGCCTATATTTGTAAACGTTATACAAAAAACAACTATCAGGATTTGCAGAATCAATCAATTTCTCAAAGGGTATGAAGTTTGAGGGAGTTTTAGTTCTGAAGCTCACCCCCAATTTGTCGTGGCGATCTTGGCTATAGCCACGCGGCCAGTTGGAATGGCTTCCCCTGTAGAACCTGTCCGAAAACCACCTGTGCGTCAGCATGCTCTCAGGCTCTGGGATTTTATCACCAAACATCTTTCTCAGCACGTCCATGGCCTCAGCCTGCAGCTCTTTGTCTGACAGCTGCTCCATTCGTTTGGCCTCATCGTATGTTACCGTCACCATTAGTATGTTCGATCCAGGGATCTCATTATCCAGATGCTGATACAGTATATCCAAATCTAGACACGTCAGTATGCTAGCTTTCCTATTCAGGATTAAAAGCTTTCTCTATCAGATATTGCACGATCTAATTCAGTCAAATACCTGCCAAACAGGATAGTAACCACGTTGGCTATGGGCGTAAAGGAAGGTCTCAGTTCCAGGACCAGTTGGCCAAAACTTGTGAGGGAATTGGAAGAATATCTTTGAGTACACAGCCATACTGAAATCAGCTATTGCAACCCTCTTCCACATCTGGAAAACAGATCGTGTTTCTCGTGTTAAAATGGAGCATATATCTTATCTTGTAAATTGCATTATCTGATTCAACTTGAAAATCGACAGCAATGAAATTGACACTCACCGGAAGCTGCGGCTTGAACTGAATGAGATCGCTCTGGAGCACTCCGATGCTTACAGAAATAATAACATAGTTTGCCTGATATGTCGACCCATCCTCGGTTTGGACCACCACCATATTCTCCGTATAGGTGATTTCTCTAACCACCTTAAGGTTGATGTTAAGAAAAGGATAGAAAAAAAGGAAACCCATATTTCAGAATGTCAAAGGATACACTTATCAGCTACCTTTGAATAAAGGTGAAAAGTTTCAATCAAAACTGGATTAGCAGTCCCTTCCAAGTCTAATGTAGTGAAAATGAACCAAATTTGACTTCACCTAGAAATCAATAAGTGGAAACAAAGAAGAATAATGCAAACAGAACCAGTATATTCTGAACTTGAAAGTAGTAAACCAATGTGATTTTTTGTGGCATATGTAACTAATCATAAGCATGGTCTGTGCATTTTGGGGTAACAAGGCTAAGATCAGAGCCATTCTGCTTCCTGTTCTCCATCAACGAATCAAGTAGGATATGCAGAATGTATCTAGTTACCTTATTCAGCTGGAGGCGGGGATCGCCATTGATGGAGGAAAGGAACTGTTCCCCAATATACTGAGGTATAGCCTCATAGCCTCTGGGATCTGCCACGAAGTGAGCTAGCGGGCCATGGTCGGGGCCTATCGTCCTTGGGTGAACGTTCTTCAAGCTCGTTAGTTCCGGGGGCTCTCCATCTGTTAATTCATCGTTCATGTACTCCACAACTCTTTCTAGTGGAGTTTCAGGTAGACTGCACAACCAAAATTACTCCGTCACTAAGAATACAGCAAAGTGATTCATCTATAACCAACTATCTCAAGTTCTCAACTATCAATTTTGCTAAATTCTCCCCTACAAACCCTAATTTCAACAGCAAATAGAAACAAGGGAATAGACACAAAATCAGCAATATAAGAATGACCACAATACCTTCCAGACAACCGATGCGCCGCCAAAATTGAGATATCGTCGTCTTCCTTAGCTCCTGAACCCAGAGCCTGGCTGAACTTTGCGCAGAAATCAGTCCTCGCAGCGGTGGCCTTTTGAGCTGCCTCGACGGCTTCCTTCGGGTACAATCCGCCTCTACAACGGCGGCCCAAGAGAAGAGAAATTAATATAAAGAGAAATATCTATCGGAAATGAGGGGGTTTCAATTTGATCAATGTATTCCGGCCGACGCCGCCGACGCCGGCGGCTTACTGTTGTTTGTAGGTGTTGGAAGAAAGGTTTCCGTTGTCTGTGAGGGTATATTTGAGGTTCAATTTGCTGGCGATTTCGGCGATTGGATTGGGAACAGGTCCTCCACTGAGGTACCAGTTCGCTCCGAGCTCCACCATGTGCCCGCCGATCTCCGCTTTCCGCATCCGTCCTCCCACATGGGATGTCGCTTCCAGGATCACGACGTCCTTCACTCCGGCGTCGTGCAGCGTCTTCGCAGCCGCGATTCCTGAGGAAATTTTATTAGTGAGTAAAGGAGAGCAGTACATCATGAACAACACCATTACTAGCACATTTTACATAGTATCAATTTAGGGAAAGGGATTTCGGTTAGGTACCAGAGATTCCGGCTCCGATGACGATTACGGAGGGCGCCATTGTTGTCTTTTGATTTATTTTCGGGTGGAAGTCTGGACTGAATAGCTCTGTTCACAGAGCTCCGAGCTGGTTGGAGATTGTAAAGAGTGAAAAAAAGGAAAAGAGACTATTCTAGGGTTTGAAAGTTAAAACCAGAAAAAAGCCATTATTGTATTTTGATTTACATTCTGGTGGAAGTGTCGACTGAGAAGACAAAAGTGAAAAGCTGTGCTCACACTGTGACCGTCACAGAGCGCCGAGCTGGTTGGAGATAGTAAAATGAATCGCTATTTGCCGCCCGTATATTTGCTATTTGCCGCCCGTATATTTTGTAGAAAAAGTCAATTTTGCCCTTCAACACTTTGAAACCTAACTAAAATATCTCACCGGAATTGTTGGCCGCGTTTTGTTGCCGCCGCTCTGGAGGACCAAACCTGCCGCCGGCGACCTCACCTTCCTCTTTTCTATTCCTCAAATCCGGCGACAATCACTTTCGCCTTCCTCTTTTTTCCCCGCAATTCCCGGCGGCGATTCACCCTCCACCATCTTCTTTCGCCATGGGAGCAAGACCTCGGGATGAGATGGACGGAGACCTTCGGTCCGACATCGACGCTCGGACAGGGTCCGCCCGCCGGCCTCGGACGGGGTCCGACCTCTCACATCGGACGTGGTCCGATCTCCCACGTCGGACGGGGTCCGACCTCTCGCATCGGACGTGGTTCGATCTCCCGCGTCGGACGGGGTCCGATCTCCGGCGTCGGACGGGCCGCCGGTGAATAAATTTTTTTATTGTTTTAAATATTTAGAAATCTGATAATTAGGCAAATTAAAGGGAGTATTTTAAGGTAAGATTGATTTTCCGTTGATATATTTCGGTAGAATATTAAAGAGGAGTTTTTTTCTCACCAAAATAAAAGAAAGGAGTTTTTCATGGTATATATAAAAGTTTACATAAACAACTGTAAAATATTCCCTTAATTAAATTGTCTTCCCCTAATTGGCGTCCACATTTAATTTCATTTACTTAAGACATCCGAAAAAAATTCCATAATTAACATGTCCATAACCCACGTCTAATTGGCGTCCACATTTGAATTGTTAATTATTTATTGAGTAATTAAGTAGTTATATTGTTTCAGATATTTATAAAATCACCAGTCAAAATAAAATTTTTATAAAATCTGATAATTAGGCAAATTAAAGGGAGAGTTTTAAGGAAAGATTGACTTTTTCGTTGATCTAGTTTTGGTAGATTTTTTGTTTAGTTTAGACTTTAGCGGTGGAATATTAAATAGAATAGTTTTTATGGTAAAATTTAAAGGGAGATTTTTAAGGTAAGATTGATTTTTCGGTTAATATAGTTTTGGTATAATTTTTTTTTATTTTGATTGAGCGGTTGAATATTAAATAGATGAGTTTTTTATGGAAAATTTTATAAGTTTTACATTAATAAAATAATTTATTTTGAGTAAGAATTTTTCTGAAGGAAACTTCCTAATTAACTCTAATTTTTATTTCTCGCTACCAATCTTATTTCTCTTGCCATCAATAGAATTTGTATTCCTTAACAACCGAACGTAATATCCTCCCCAATTTAATGATTATTTTCCTAATTAACTACCTACAAAATTTCCTCCCACGTCTAACAATGGTTTCATAATTATACTCAATTTAACATCTCACCCACATTGACATCCGAAAAAATTTCCTTAATTAACATTTCCTATTCCATAAGCCACGTCTAATTTCAATTCCCTAACTAACACTTACTTAATTAACATAACCAATTAGAAGAGAATTTAACCACAATTGAAATCAAGATGATAGATGGCAAAAAGAAATAAAGCATTTCTTTCTTAGTTTACACCTTCTACCCCTCCAAAATCCTAAACCCTTATTCCAACAAAATAACTACATTCAACCTCGACCAATCCAATTCTACTACGACATTGTCTTAGAGACAAAATCGCCTCTACTTCCACTAACAACAATCGTTCGTATCGTCGAAATACGCATGGTAGGCCCAAGAAACTGCTCGTTACGACTCCCAAAACTCCCAAAAACGTCAATTAAAGTTTTGACACTATTCATATTTTTTTGCCCCGGACGTCCGATCGCGAATCGGTTGATTCCACCATGTTCATATCCACATTTTAGTGGAGCACCAAGGGTTACAATAATTTTTCACATCGATAGCCCTAGTAAATAGTAATTGTGAAAAAATTCTTGTATAACCATTTAACCAAATTTAATAAGTATTTATAGTCATTCTACACGGTTAAAATGAATTATCCATAAGTTTGTACAATAATTTTGGATCTCTTATAATTAATATTCATAATCTAATCATGGTAATTTTTTGAATTATCCATAAGTTTCTATTTATGTACGCAATAATTTTGAAAGTTCTAATCTAATCATGGTAATTTTTTATAATTATAAGGGTAGAAACAATGGAAACTAATCACCTCTGTCATATTGAGCAATTAGTGTCGATAAAAAAAAGCAATTAGTGGTGCATGGAGAAATTAGTGGTTTGGTCAAATTAGTTTAGTGAATAAATGGGGCGAGGCTGGAATTAGCTAGATTAATTAATATAAATAATAATATTAATATTGATATAAAATAATAACAATAATTCCCACTAATCAATCCCACTTACGACAGAAACCATTTTCTACTATCATTATATAATAATTAATCATAATTAATTACTTCTCTCCAATTAATTTCCCTTAAAACGTCTATTCCACTCCTAAAAAATTGCGCCGAATATCCTCTCTCCTTTTCTATCTATTCTTTCGTTCTATCGTCGCCGTGAAATTGGACAGCGCCAAGCCGTCCGACGCAGCAGATCGGACCCCGTTCGACAATGGAGATCGGACCCCGTCCGATTGTCGCAGGCGGACGGCGTCCATCGCCAGCGAGCGGACGGTTTTTTTTTTCTTTCCGTTTCAAAAATTGGGAGGTCCGTCGGTTGTGGGTTGGGAGGTTCGGTGGCCGCGATGATGTGGCGGATGGCGGCGGAGATGATTTGGGAGGTCCGGCAGCGGTGATGATGTGGTAGACGGAGGTGGAGATGGTTTTGGTGGTCGGTGGCGAAGGTGGAGATGGTCGGCGACGATGGTTGGAGGGAGGAGGCGGAAGAGTTTGGGAGGGAAGGGAGTGGGGGCAAAAATGTCATTTTAAATTAATATACGGGCGGCAAATAGTAAATATACGGGCGGCAAATAACAACCCTCATAGTAAAGAGTGAAAAAAAGTGGTGGTCACTGGCACCGCAGTAATTCGTATTAAATGTTCTCAGAGTTTGCTGGGTATCTGTGAGGGTTGGGGTTTGCCGTGTAAAACGAATTTCTCCTTGTATAAAAAAAAAGTAAAAAAGGAAAAGAAACAAAGAAACAAATTGTTTTCTGGTGGAAGTCTGGACTAAGTGAAAAAGGAAAAGGAACAATTTGCTTTCTATTAGACTATTACGGTTTGAAAGTTAAAAATAAAAAATTCAAATATAGTGCGCATCCGGGGAATCGAACCCCGGTCAGTACCGTAGGAGGGTACTATGATACCACTACACTAGATGCGCCTCTTGAATCCAATTTCCAAAATTTCATTAATTAAAGTAGCGTAATCTCCACGAGCACATTAAAAGAGAAATAAAGAGTTTGTTCTTTTCTATTTATTACAACTTCAATCTGTTGGAATGAAATCACATGCTAACCCACTAAGGAGTTAGCATGGTGCCAATTCCTACAATCACCATTTATTACTCTTTTCTATAATTTAACGGTTTTAATAAAGTGGGGAATTTTTGGTATTCCTAGGTAGGGGTGTTCAAACGGATTGGTAACCATGGTAACCATATTAACCGGTAGCATTCGGTTAATTTGGTTCGGTTAATTTTGATAATTGATTTGGTTTGGTTAAACAATTTAGCTTATTTGGTTTAGGTGGTTTGCTCTGGTTTCAACACTACTAACCAATAAAACCAATTAACCAATTAATGATACACCTAATATACAAAATTATTTATATTTCCATGCAACCAACGAAACCAAACTTTAGTGATTCCCTATTGTATTTCCTTGTGCACAACAAACCAAAATATTATTGTCAAAAATTAAATGGGTCTACCTATTTACTAAACCAAAACATTTACTAGACTTTAGGATTACGTACAACACCATGACAGTCACCTCAAACCTTGTATAGTTTAAGTGTTTTGATGAGGGGTATTGGTATGTATTTATATTAAGGGGTTTGTTGTAAGCTAACTATATTAGGTGCAGAGATGATGAATGATGTATTAACTCGAATGATGATGATAATCATGGATGGTTAGTCTTATTATTATTGCTTATATATAATGATAGTTTATGATAGTAACAACATATGATTATGTTTTATTCATTAACCGGATAATTGTTTTCATGTAATGTTATGTTATTTGATTAATTTGATTATCCGATTAACCAAACCAGTTAAATTTTGGTTTGATTAATTCGGTTTTCGTGTTCTTTGGACGGTTTGGTTAAGACATTTTATTTCATGTTTAATGAAATTTAGGGTTAATTGGTTTGGTTATTACCACTAGGGGTGGAAATTGGGGTGGGTGTAGTTACCCGCCCCACATTTTGCGGGTAACCACACCCACAAATATAGAATTATGTTACCCACAAAGATTTATTAAGTTTTTTTTCCTCCAAAACACGTCGAACCTATGTATGTCTTCTGTCAAAAATGGACAAGGATTTTTACTATCAAGAAAACATTTTGATGCTCACTATCAAGCGGTACGTACTCATTCTTCTCTTTATTTAGTTCTTATAGTTCTTGTAACTAATCTATATATACTAATAATTCATTTTTTTTATGCTATTGTAGATTGATATGGATGTAGATATATATGATCAAAGATATTATGTTGATCAAGGATCCTATTATGGAAGTATTTTGTACGACCAGCCTAGCCATTGTTCAAGGGATGTTTGGAACAATTTGCCGGTATGCATAATTCTTCAACCTTTATCATAGTTTATTTAGTTAACATACTTAGTAGTTTAGAATATAATTTTGTAAATAGTTAATCATATCAATCATTTACTTAGCCCAAATCATTGAAAACAACCAATATGATTAACCATTTACAAACTTTTATTCTAAACCACTAAATACGTTTAAAAAATAAACTAAGACAAAGGTTGAAGAATTATATGTACATGCAAATTGTTCGAAACAACCATTAACCGATGGTTAAATTGGTCATACAGAACACTTCTTCAAGGGATCCTTGGTCAAGATAATATATTTTATCATATATATATATATATACATTCATACCAATCTACAATATCTTAACAAAAAATGAAATAATTAGCATATAGATTAATTAACAAGAATAATAAGAACCAAAATACAGAGAAGAATAAGTACGGACCGCTTGATAGTCATCTTCAAAAATGTTTTCTTGATAGTAACAATCATATTTCATATTTTACACAAGGTGAACAAAGGTTTAACGTGTTTGAGAGAAAAAAAAATTACAAAATATTTTTTGATGATAATTCAGACTTAGCCACAACCTGAGCCGACGACTATTTCTTAAGTTAAGGGTGGAGAGGGGAGTGAGTGAAGAGAAAATCTTAGAGAGAGAAAGGAGAAAGCTTGGTTTGGAGGAAAATGAGATCTGGATAGCGTAAGGCACATGCAACACGTCCTTATTTATTTAGTTTAAAACGGCGTAGCATTGTCATTGGTCGTCAAGTTTGAACACCTTGCCTTTATACGGCTAGCGAGGTTTGAAAGACTCGAGAGAGCTGCTTTTATAGGTAGCGGATCGTGGGTGACGAGGGAGGGGAGGCGATTTGGCGATATTTCGCAAAACAAAATCTTCGGCG